TAGTGAGTCCATCCTGCTGAGGAACCAGTACCCCTGCCTAGTGCTGGCACATGGCAGCCCATTGCAGAGTAGCCATTGGGCCAAGAGAAGTGGCCACAGACACCCCATGGCACCAACAGCTGCATTGACAGCCTCAGTTCACGAGAGCCACATGGAGCTTCCCGGCAGCCTCTTAGGATCTTTCTTTGAGGGTCAGGTGGACAGCCAAGGTCACCAAAATGTGAGGAAAGACCAGAACAAACAGAGAAGAGGGCCTGGAGGGACCACACAAGAGCTGTAAGAATCCTGTCGTTAGTTTCGGGAGGCTGTTTAGGAAGGAAGAGTAGGATGCCAGCAGAAAGGAATATCCAGAGAGCCAGAGAGTGCCTCTAGAAATATTAGGTCAGCAGAAAGTTGAAAAAAATCATAGAAGGGCTAGAATGGGTTGAGGAAGTCTCAGAAAATAGAGCAAAAAAGGGTGGGGGCAGATTAGAAAACTGAGTGGTCATCCAGAGGTGGCTCTGGCCACTGCAGGTTGGGAGGAAGGGGGAACCGTGCATGAGGTGAACTGAGGGATATGGCTTGAGTCCTCAGACTGGTGGGCCACGGGGCATCCAGCCCAGAGCATGAAGACCTTCAGAGCAAGTCGGGCTAAGCAAGTGCTCCGAAAGTGTTTAGTGAAGCAAGTCCCATGGGGGGCTCAGGCCGTGATCAGGGCAGCACCTGCCTTCAAACAGCTCTCCAGGGCCGGGTCTCCCGTGGTTGAGGATGAGGAGGTGGCATACCCTGTGGCAGACAGAACCAGGAGCCCAGATACTGATGGCTTGTAGGGCGAATGTGCAAGCAAACCTTAAGTAATGGTGCTTTCCAATGGTGCAGGTACTGGTATGTGTCTAGGGAGTGTGTGACTCAGGTCGGCCAAGAGGCAGCCCATGCTGGGATTAGGTGAACAAGAGAGTTACTGAAAACAGAGCCTGAGCTGGTGGGTGAGATGGGGAGGAAGGAGGGGTGGGTGCCCACGGGCAGTCGTTGACAGGGACCTTTGGTGCTAACAAGGCCCTGGTGCAGGCATGGCAGTGGGCCTGGAAGGGGGCAACTGGCCTTCACAGGGGCCCTTGCTTTTTTCACCAAACATTTCACTTAGAAGCAAAAGATGTTTAGACAGAAGGACAAAATAAACAGTGCGTTGAGAAAGTGCTAGTGAATAGTCTCCCTGCTGATACTCACACAGGGTGGGGTGGCCAGGGTCCCCTGCCAGGCCTCTGCACCCTGCCTCTCCCCCCCCCACACCGTGGCTCCATCCCATTCCAGCTCATGGTTCTGGTCTGGTCCTCTCTGCCTCCCATCCCTTCCCGCCCTGTCAAATCCCTGCCGCCCCTAGCTGGGATAATCACCCTCTTTGAAACCTTCCAGGCCAGTGGCCTCCTCCCTTGGTCCTGACACCTGTCCCTTCTCTGAAAGCCCACACTCCCTTCTGGAGCTGCATGCTGGGGCCAGGAGGGCTCCACCTGGCTGGTGGCCATGTGTTACTGGGGCTGAGACACTCGGCTGACTATGCTTAGAGAACACGGCTGCTGTTTGTGAGCCTGCCATTTTCGAGGGTGAAGCTGTTTGGGCGTAGTCAAACCCACTCCTCCCAGCGTCCACTGAAAATCCTGCTCTGGCACTCCACGGACAGCGGGGGCAGGGCGTGGGGGCCAGCTGCGTGGAGGAGCTCAGGGCACCGTGACTGTGGCTCCTCCGCTTCTGCCAGCAGAGACTTGCTTCTGAGGTCAGTGACTGAGGTCCAAGGGCTGGCATCTTGCTGGGTGAGCACGAGGCAGCCTCGGTCACCCAGCCTGCGAGGTGGGGAAGGCCTGCCCCAAGCCCAGCTGTGGGTGGTGCTCCCGAGGGTGGGAATGGCGGTGTCCGCACCGTGTTCTTAATGCCAGATCTGCTGGTGGCCAGTTCGGTCTCTGGACTTCTCCCAGTGTCCCTTTCTCTCCCCTTCCTTGCCCCTAGCGGCTGCTCCCTGCGGGCCTGGGTCACAGTGCCACCTAGGGGTGGCTGGGTGGCAGGGCAGCTCTTTGTGGGGAACGGGACTGGGGAGTCCTGGGGAGCTGGGGCCTCCATGTCCAGTGCCTACCTGCTTGACTGAATACGGCTGACAGTAGCCGTCACGGGGACACCCACCCACAGCCTCCAGAAGTCCGTTTCCAGCACCGTCCTCTTGGGTCTGTCTTGTGGGAGCTACAGCCACCAGGGCCAAAGGGAGCGAGCATGAGCCAGACACTTCTCCTTGTGCTTCCGTTTGACAGAAAATTCTAGGGGCTTCCACCCAAATGATAAGAAGCAAGACGACAGTTGGGGAGGAGGGGTGCAGGCCTGAGTGCAGCTTCTTACTGAAGAGTGTCTTGTTTCACTTGGGAATATGCAGAAGACACTCCCCCCTCGCTTTTTAAAACTGTGTAAATGCACACAGCACAGAAGTGAACACTGCAGCCTCGTGTACATCGGTGACATCAGTGCATTCACACTGTCGTGCGCCCGTCATTGCTCATCACCCGGGCCGCGGACCAGGGCTGCCTGCGCGCCCTCGGCAGTGCGTCAGTATCCGTCCTTCCTGCCTGGACGTCCTGGTGGTGTCGTGTGGGCTTTCCGTGCGGCTTTCTTCCACTTTCCGGCTGGCTAGTCATGTGGCACATCCTTCTGTGACCTCGTTGGCCACTGGTGTGTCTTATTTGGGGAAGTGTCTGTCCTTTGCCCTTTGTGAAAAACATAACTTCCATTTTGTTTTTCTCCCAGATGATTGCTTTTCAGTCCTACCGGACACGGCTCCCTGCATGGGGCAGCACTGCAGGATGGAGTGGGGTGGGGGCTTGGTCCCTCTGGCTGCCCAGGCTGGATTCCAGACGATCTTGCCTTGGGTGGCACCGCCACATTTTGTAGCCTGACATGCAGCTTGGGAAGCAGCTAGGTGTCGAAGACCCTTGCTTCAGAAATGGCCTTTTACTGTTCTCATGGCAGACCTCTCAGTGGCTTTGCCCTTAGACACGCATCTGGGGCAGTTCTTGCAGAGGGTGGGCTGCATGTGCCGCAGCCCTTTTTAGCACAAAGCAAGGACCTGAGAGAGGCTGCCCATTTTATTTTATTTTATTTATTTTTGAGTTGGAGTCTCACTCTGTTGCCCAGGCTGGAGTGCAGTGGTACTCTCGGCTACTCCAGCATCAACCTGCTATGCTCCGGTGATCCTTCTGCCTCAGCCTTCCAAGTAGCCAGAATTACAGGTGCACACTACCACTCCTGGCTAATTTTTGATTCATTGTAGAGATAAGGTCTCGCCAAGTTGCCCGGGCTGATCTCGAACCTGTGGGCTCAGGCAATCCACTCGCCTCAGCCTCTCCAAGTGCTGGAATTACAGGCTGAGCCACCGAGCCCTGCCAAAGCTACCCATTTTAAAATCAGGATGTTTGGGGTTTTTCTTGTTGTAGTTGAGTTGTAGGAGTTTTTTTAAAAAATAGATTCTGTGTATCAGTCCCTAACGCGGTGTATAATTTGCAAATATCTACTTCCATTCTCTGGGTTGCATTTTTCACTCTGTTGACAGTGTCCTTTGATGCATGAGAACCAGGTTTTGATGTGCAGTTAGGAGTTGGCCAGGCAGAAGGATGGTATGGGTGGAAGCAGTGATGCCTAAGAAGGGTGCCACAGGCACAGACGCTGTGTGGTCAGCTGGCAGGGTAGATTCCACACACAGAGAGGCAAACACAGAGACACAGACTCAAATGGACACACACATACAGACACGTAGAGAGACACAGACACAGAGAGACACAGACACACATAGCCCAACACACACAGATACAGATGGACTCAATTGGACTCACACAGACACACCCTCTCTGGGAGAGCATCACTTATGTTTTAAAAAATGCCCATTTCCAAATCCCTTGGAGCAAATACTATAAAAGGCAAGAAACCAACTGACTTTAAGATGTGGAGAGGAACTGAGCCCTAAAGGTTAGAAGCTTTTGGGAGGTTCCCATGAGGCCCATATACTAGGGTAAGATGTTACATATAAATTGAATGTCCAGCACTGTCTGCCCCCACCAATTTCTCTTGGACTGACCTTTCCCCATAAACGTGTAAAGAAGTAAAAGCTAAAGACATAGTCAGCATGGCTTTTCCAGAGAGCTCCCCCGAGAAACAGTATTTAGAAATTACTTCACCTGGCCAGGTGCAATGGCTCACGCCTATAATCCTAGCACTTTGGGAGGCTGAGGTGAGTGGTTTGGTTCAAGATCCGTCTGGGCAACTTGGTGAGACCTTGTCACCACAATAAATAAATAAATCAGCCAGGCGTGGTGGCGCATGGCTATGGTTCCAGTTACTTGGAAGGCTGAGGCGGAAGGATCAACTGAGCCCAGCAGGTCGAGGCTACAGAGGCCAGGTGTGTGCCACTGCACTCCAGCCTGGGTGACAGAGTAAGACTGACTCAAAAAAAAAAAAAAGAAATTACTTCACCCTCCACAGTGCTTCTAGCACGCTCCACTTGTCAGTACCTGGGGGCTACAGAGCCCAGGAACTTGGAAATACATTAGCCTTTGATAGCTCAGCTTCAGAATTCACAGGAAGTAGGTCAGAGTGGAGATAAGCTGCTCCCCTCTGGGCTTGCTGGCCTTTACGCCCTCCCCTTGGCTCAAGCTCTCTGCAGGACTCTGCCCAGGGCCTTGCAACCAGCAGGGCTGCGGGTGGGGGGGGCGGGCAGGCTGACCTGACAGGCCGTGTGGCCCAGTGCTCTGACCCCATTCCGATTTGCTCCTCATGGCCCTTGTGGAAGTGGCTGGTCCGGGTCATTTGCTGGAGTCACAGGAATGCCCAAGGCAGGCAGTCCCCCCTCCTTCACCTGCTAAGCAACAAACGCCTTGCTCCATGGTCCCTGGTGTGGCTCTCAGCCTAGGGAGGCTGGTTGGAGCCTTGTCTCTGTGGGCTCTGTCTCTCTAGGGGTGGCTTTGCCCTCAGCCCCCTCTGCTTACCTGCAGGGATTGACTATAAGACAACCACCATCCTGCTGGACGGCCGGCGCGTCAAGTTGGAGCTCTGGTGAGTCCAGCAACAGTGCTTAAACTACAGGGTGGGACGCAGATGGGGACAGCAGAAACCCTTCTAGAAGCAGAAAGCGTCCTGTTTATGCATCCCTGGGAATAGCCATTCAGACTGATCTGTTTAAATTGGAATGGATTTTGCTCCATGATGCAAAAACCAAGTCTGGGCATTTTGTTTAGTAGATCCCAGCTCCCTTTTGCCTGTAAAGACCTATTTCCACAGTGGCCGTAGCCCCTTCCCTCGCCTCTTACTGGGCTTCATGTTGAAGAGCTTTCCCAGAACTTCAAAGTTGAGACGTGAATTCCCACAGGCGCAGGTTCCCCCCCACCTGGCAGGATAGCCTCCTGGGGTCCTGGGCACGCGAGCAAATGCTCATTCACCAGGCAGAGGCTGGCCCTTGTGCTGCCCACCGGCTAGATCGGCGGTGGCTGGTGTGGTCTGTGCAGAGGATGCCTCTGAGCACTGCCTATGGGCACCCGTCTCTGCTGAGGCCTAGGGGAGGGCGAGGTAGAAGGTGAGCTTCGCAGTGTCCTGACCCCTGTGTGTTTCAGGGACACGTCGGGCCAGGGCAGGTTCTGCACCATCTTCAGGTCATACTCCAGGGGTGCTCAGGTAAGACCCGCACACTGCTGTTTCCATCATGGGTGGTCCCAGCTCGTGCTGCATGGGCTGCTGTCCTGTTGGACTCCCAAGCGCTTTACTCCTGCTTGGGGACATCAGAGGTCCCCTAACAGTGCATCCTTGTTTGGGGAGGGCGCATCTTCCTGTGGCCCCCCTGGGCTTGGGAGCCTCCCTCCCTGAGGCCCTTGTGCCAAGGGGCCTTGGTGACACAGAAGGGTGCCCTGGGCCCCAGTGTGCCTTCTCCCACTATCCTGGAGAGGCTGTAGCTGTTCTCATGGCGACGGCCAGCAGGCTGCATTTGGGTCTGTGCGGCCACTGCAGTGTCCTGTGCTATGGACAGGCAGCTCAGTCATCTGGCTTGCTGGAGCCAAAGACAGCTCCCGCATCTGCCCCGAACACCAGATACTGAGTTACCAGTCAGTGGGGTGGGGACTGGCCTCCAGGGATGGCCAGAGCTGGATGATAACTCATTCTGTGTGGGCTGGAGAGATGGGCACAAGCGGGGGAGAAACTGTCTTGGGGGAGGTGGGTGGGCAGTGTCACTGTAACCTGGGGCCAAGTGCAGTGGCATGCCTGGGCATGCTGCTGCTGGCGAGCCCGGAGTGTCCCTGTCGAGAGACTTAGGGCAGGTGGAAACAGCCCAGAGCTGAGCTGGAGTAATTGGTCTCTGAGGGATGTGGCGGAAAGTCCCCATGGTGAAGCCTGCTCTGCTGGCTGGGAAAGCTTTACAAAAACTGTTCTGGAATGACTGGCGTGCTGCTCTGCAAAGTGTGGGTTGGAAAACTCAGAATCGCACCTCTGCCACGGGTACCCCTGGGGGCACTCCCTGGCAGCCTGACTGAGAGGATGCTTGGCCTCTATGGCCCTGGCCTGGTGTCCCCAGGCTGCCGGGACCCTTTTCCTGCCAAGGGAGCTTATACTGGGCCCCACCCACCAGCTAGGCCAGATGCATCACTAACCTGTTTGTACCAGGTCTCCGAGCCTACGGGTTCTCAAATGGCTGCAGGGTAGTGCTTGTGATGGGCTTGGAAAACATCAGCTCTGCACCAACTGGCTTATCAAGGGCAGGGAGGGAAGCAATGTTTGTGAACACCAGGCTGTGGTCCTTCCCGCTACTCCTGTGAGGAGGGGGTGACGTTGTTGGGGGTGTGTTGTGGGGGACAGTACCAGTTCAGTGTGATGGGTGTCACTGCCTGCTTTTGTCTGGCAACTTGAGAAACCCACTGGGTGCTAAGTGCTTGCCTAGGAGCCGAGACCCTCCATCCAGGCCCCTGGGCGACTCCTGGGTCTGTGTTGTAGGGGATCCTCCTGGTGTATGACATCACCAACCGCTGGTCCTTCGATGGCATTGACCGCTGGATCAAGGAGATCGATGAGGTAGGTGTAGGCAGGGCGAAGGACCTGGATCCCAGCCCAAGGGCCCCAGGCCTCTGCACTACCGCCTCAGCCCCTGTCTGGGTTTGCTGACCACTGTGGCCGCACAGCAGCCGATGAGTGGGGCTTGGGACGGGGAGAGCTGACAGGGCCCACACTGGAAGGGCCTGTGCCCTGCGGGGACTGAGCCCTGGGCTCTGCCTTCCAGCCTCACTCCAAAAGAGTTGGTGCCAGCCTGGCCCCCCAACTCCCACAGCCCCCACCTGCCACAGAGTCCAGACAGCAGGGGGTGTCCCACATATGTGCCTCTGCTGAGCTCTGTGCCCCCCCCCAAGCACGCGCCTGGGGTCCCCCGGATCCTGGTGGGAAACCGGCTGCACCTGGCCTTCAAGCGGCAAGTCCCAACAGAGCAGGCACGTGCATATGCAGAGAAGAACTGCATGACCTTCTTTGAGGTCAGCCCGCTGTGCAACTTCAATGTGGTGGAGTCCTTCACCGAGTTGTCGCGCATTGTGCTCATGCGGCATGGCATGGAGAAGATCTGGAGGCCCAATCGAGGTACGGGGTGCCCGAGGGTGTGGGCCCTGCCATCCCTGTTCCTGAGGGGCTGCCCTGAGCACAGAGGATGATGGGGTGGGTCACCAAGTACACCCCGTGGCCGTGCACAGTGACATTGGTGGGTGGAGCCAGGTGGCGTGGGACAAGCAGCAATAGGATGGAGCAACGGCAGCAGCTTTGGCCTTGGGGAGCCTCTAGGAACTGCAGCTACCCCAGCCACCAGCCAGGCTCAATGTCAGGAGGGCAGCAACTGCCACCTCACCTAATACTGCCGCGCTGAGGTTCCCAAGCCCTACATGCGCTGGGGAGGCCTGGCATGTTGGTGTGGACTGGGTGGCTACACACTGCTTGTGCTGTCTGGAGCTAGAGTCCTCCTGCTGGTCACCTGGGTCTGTTGTACAGCTTTGCGGCATCCTGTCTGTACCACATCAGCACCAGCTTCCTGAGCAGAGACCCACACCCCAGTGTTGGCCTCACCCTCGGGGCAACGGTGCCATAGGCCTTGCGGTGCCTCCCAACAGGGTTTGCTGCTGGGTGGGGGGCTCGTGCCTCACAGTCTTCCTCAAGGTAAAGCCAGGGAGCGGAGCATCCAGAGCCTCCTGCTCACAGGGAGCCGTAAGGAGCCTGCCATGCATGGATGGTGGGGTCCAGCTCCCCTCCATAAGGGCGCCTCTGCACATGGGTCAGGCTGCATGGTGTCAAGATCCAATCAGAGTTGTGGCAGAGGCTGTCAGAGTGGCCCAGAAGGAAGAGTCAGTGCGCATGGCCCGCACGCGCCCCGGGGTTGCTGGTTTTGCCAAGGAGCTGGGCAGGCTGGCCTCCCGAAGTGAGGCCCCAGGGCCCTTGTCAGTGTGTGCCTGACTCTAGGAAAAAGGCAGGAGGTGGGACGCCCAGTAGATGCTCAAGTGCCAGGCAGTGGGGGGAGGGACACCCCTGAGGAGCCCCCTGGGGACACCACTAGGAGTGTCAGAACTTCCTGCCAACCGTCTCTCGTGCTGTCTGGTGGCAAGAGGGCCGCCTGTTATCCAGGGCACCCTGCCTGGGCCTCCTGCCCCTTGGCGCCGTCTGACACTGCCTACTGTCCTCCCTGCAGTGTTCAGCCTGCAGGACCTGTGCTGCCGTGCCATCGTATCCTGCACGCCCGTGCACCTCATCGACAAGCTCCCGCTGCCTGTCACCATCAAGAGCCACCTCAAGTCCTTCTCCATGGCCAATGGCATGAACGCCGTTATGATGCATGGCCGCTCCTACTCGCTGGCCAGCGGGGCGGGGGCCAGCAGTACCAAGGGCAGCAGCCTCAAGAGGTCCAAGTCCATCCGCCCACCCCAGAGCCCACCCCAGAACTGCTCGAGGGGCAACTGCAAGATCTCCTAGTGCCATGGCAGCACAGCTGCAGACTCTGGGAGGCTGGGAGTGGGGGTGCGCCTGCCAGATGCAGGGCCCATGCCGAAGGTCTCTGACCACAGCCTTGCCTCCTCGCACTGAGTGTGGGAGGAGCGTGCACGGAGTGTGCCGTGGTGGCTGGTGCTTTAGGAGTCTTGGTGGAAAGTTGCGGCTTCCATGCTGCCCAGGCTCTCCACATTCTCATCTCGAGAGGACACTCCACCTGTTTTGTACCTTGGTGGGGCCTTCAAGGAAGCCTGGCTGCAGCCACGGGGAGTGCCCGCCCTCCCCACGGCCATGTTGAGGAAGTGTGGGGGAGGAGTTCCGTCAGAGCTGCACAGGCAGGTGCTCCTTCTGAAGCCCCGGCAGGGACCTCAGCCCCAGGCTCCTGCAGCCTTCTCTGGGTATCATCCCTGTGCAACAGAGCCCAGGCAGCCTCAGGGGAGGGGAGAAGTGGGTGCGCCCAAGCCCACTCTTGTGGCTCTAGGCTCTTCCCACACAGGGCCGAGAGCCTTCCTGCTGTGGTTCAGCACCTTTGGGACGTTTCCGACCAGAACTCAAATCGGCATCTCTCCTGCAGAAAGGTGCAGAGCCATTTGTAGACCTACGAATACTTGACGGGGCGCAGCCTCCCTGTCTCCCGTGGTGTGGGCCCCAAACCGCCCCCTCCGTTCTGGTAGCTCCTGTTCCCTGACCTTGAGTGTCCCCATGGCTGCTGCCCCCTGTGGTTGCCCTGCTTGTGAGGTCACATGTTCCAGAGCCACTCTGACCTGCTTCCTAAGGACACCTCCTGGAACAGCCTTGGCCATACCATGAGCAGGTGGACGCCGGCCCCTCACACAGCCGGGCCAGTCATCTCTGCTTTTAAAGCCATTGGCGGTCCTTTCATAGCACTGTGCCTGCAGCAGCGCCTCCACAGGGGGCGTCGGTGCCTGCGACCGCCCTTCCATCCACCCAGGCCTGGTGACTGCCCTGGTGCTCAGCTCTACCTCCTGCCTCAGTCCCCAGCACAGGCGTGGCCAGTGCACAGGGGCCCTTCCTGGGCCCAGTACCCATGTCAGAGACCCTTTGTGCTGCATTTCCTGAGAAGAGCCTGTGGGGTGACAGGCACCAGTGGACCTGTGGCCCCGTGGCCTGTTCGGGAGATGGCGAAGGCCTCTGCCACATCCCCCTGGACCCAGGCCCAGCCTCCACCTAGATGGCGGGGTGGAGGTGTCTCCACAGACCCATCTCGCTCTCTCCTGGTCCTGCCTGTCCTGGCACAGCCCCTGGGGCCCCTTGTTTGGAATTATGAGCAAGTCACACAGACCCCAAGGACCTCATGGTCCCGGAACCGACACTACCCTTGCTGCTGCTCCACACATCGTTCCTGGGCTCTTCTGAACTGTTCTTATTTCTTTGTACAGCAAATGTAATTCAACCATGATCTCCATGTTTTGTGTAAATGAGTCTTGTGCCGTGTCTGGGGGTGGGACTTAGTGGGATGAGTCTGGTGGTGATGGAGCTGTGCACCAGGGTCTTTGCTGACCCCCCTCAGTTTCCTGCACCTCACTGGCCTGTGGTGGTCAGCTGGGTTCCTGTACTGAGGGTGGGAGGAGCGGCTGGGACCAGTTAGGCCATTCTGCATGTCTTATGGACAGGAGCCCGTGGGGCAGCCCCTCTCGTGCCAGCCGGCACTCATGGCCCCCACAGCAGGTGACCTGGGCAGACACACCCTGCAACTTGCCACAGTTTGGAGGACCCCGGGGAGCCATGCCCTGCTGTGTGTAGGTGCCCTGAAGCTCAGAGCCGCGCTTGAGGGAATACTGCTCTGGATATGGTCCCACACTTGGGACCACAGCCCTAAGCTGCAGCACCCAAGGCCCCCCTTGGGGCACCCTGTGCTCCGCTCTTCCCCACTGTGGCTGTGGGGCCGTCTGCAGGGAGCCCAGCTGCCCCCACCCCTGCTGGCCCCTTGCAGGGTGGGGACCGTGGCGCCTGGTGGCTGTCTCTGGAACTCACTTGGACAGACCAGGCTCTAATGACCCTGCCTCCAGGGTCAGAGGTCAGACAGGGTCAGGGGGACATTCTCCATCCTGTCGCAAAGAAACCACTCTCTGGGGCCCTGAAGCTAAGCCACAGAGGGCCTGGAAGGGCAGATTCCAGACAGCCCTTTGTCCTCCAAGTCTGATCTTGGCTGAGAGCCGGGTGCCCCTGCCCTTCCCCGAGGAGGGGCCTCCTGGTGTTTGAGGTTGGATGCTTGACCCACTGCAGGCGCTGGGCGCAGGGCAAGACCTGGTGCCTGTGGTTCCCAGAGTGAGGTCTGGACCCTTGGCTCTTCTCAGTGTGTCAGATGTCTTTCGACTCGGCTTCCCCTCAGCGACACCAGCCCATGTGCAGCCAGATGCACAGCGTGGGCAGCCTGTGCGATACAGGTATTTGTGTTGTCCATGCACACGTGGGCCAGTCCTGATCTGGGGACGGCTCCAGGCTTCACCTCCTCACTGCTTGCCCAGTTGAGGACAGGCCTGAGACAAACAGGGTCGTGAGCTAGTCCGGTCTTGGAGAAGGTTCTGGACATGCAAAGTCCTGCTGTGTGCCAGGTCCCATCCCCACGGTCGGCAGACGGTCCATCTGCCCTGCGCAGGCCTCATCCAGCAGGGTTTAGACCCAACCCAGGACCTGCCGGCAGACTGTGGCCCTGGCAGGATCTCCCAGGAAGGGAACAGACCCCCATCTGCTGTGTTGTACGTGAGGCCCTGCTCTGTACTAGACTCACAAGTGACAGTTGCCAGCTTGGACCTTCCCTGGGGCACCCTGGCTGTGGTCACTGTTGGGGGGAGCCTGAGGGGTCAGGGACAAAAGCCGAGGCTAGCAGCCCTGCCCCCACCCTCCAAGGCTGGGAGGGTCAACCAGGAGACTCTGATCCCGCCAGCCCCTCATCCCAGAGTTAATGTGGGGGAAGGGCTCAGGTTACAGTGTCCCCTCCCTTCCCCCTCTCCAGCCAAAGCCAGCCCTTCCCCGCCCCTGTGACCCTGTGGCCAGTGGCTCAGGGCCCCTGGCCCCTCCCCTCTCCCCACCCTACCCCGCACCGACCAGGCCTGGAAGCCACCCACACGGTGGGACAGAGGAGCCAGGCCGAAGCTGGAGCCTCCCAAGCACCGCAGAAGAGACGGGAGCACCCCCAGGAGCATCCCCTGGGACGTTGGGCCAGAGGGAGCCCAGGAAGGTGTGGAGGCCGGCCACAGGCCCCGGCAGATGCCTGCAGTGAGCCCGAGGAAGGGCTGGTGTCCACACCCCCCATCCCCCGGCCAGGTCCCCATGCCCGCGCCAAGGCCACCCCTGCCTCTTCTCCTCCTCCTCCTCTGGCTGACCTCCGAGGCTGGCCTGCTGCCGGAGCCTGGGAGCCACCCGGGCATGTGCCCCAACCAGCTCAGCCCCAGCCTGTGGGTGGACGCCCAGAGCACCTGTGAGCAAGAGTGCAGCAGGGACCAGGTGAGCACCAAGGGCCAGGGGGTCCTGGGGCTTGGATGTGGCCGGCCTGGGGCAGCGGGATACGGTGGGAACCCCAGTGCTGGGCCTCTGCTTCCTCCTGGGCTCTCCAGGCTCTTCTGTGGGGGTCTTGGGTGGCCCACAGGAGGGCTCCAGGGGACCCCATCTAGCTTCATCTGCTTTGAGGACGAGTGTCCTCCCCACCCCCTCCACGCTCACATGCATGTCTACCCTCCACCCAGCATGGGTCTTCCCTGAGTACCTGAGTAAATACTACAGGCCGGCGGACCCACGGAGGCCATCAATGCCCCCTCACAGCCGGGACCTGTGGAGATAGCCTCTGGGGGGGTGGGCACACAAGAGGGGAGGGGGCTGCCGTCGGGGGGCCTTGCAGCCAGGCCCTGCAGCACCTGCTTGGGAGGCCCAGCACCACAAGTCCCCCCATGGCCTGTTCCCCCAACATCATCA